ATACTGGTTTAAAATAATAGTGTGAATCCTCGTTATATTTAAAGATACATTTTCATCTTTAGAGAGTAAAGGATGGCAAACAATTCTTTTTCACATAGTAAATTGCTCTTTCTTGACCCGGTAACCAAAGCGCGTGTCTAGCCGTGTGTACCCATGGTGTAGTGGTTATCACATCCGCCTAACACGCGGAAGGTCCCAGGTTCGAAACCTGGTGGGTACAACGAGAGCCGGTGATATGCTTTTCTTTAAACCGTCAGAAGACTTTTTGAAAGAGCATATTTTTTTCGGTGAAACATAATTTCGCATTTAATCTCGAACTAAAATTCCACTTTTACGTTTAGCATTTTACTATTTTATGTACTATGGAAGGAATTTAAATATTTAAGCGAATTGATGTAAAATGTGGGGATGCCAACGCGTCCACGTAGTGTAGTGAACATTACACGCGAAAGGTCCCGAATACAAAACGTAATGGGTTCAATGCGAAACGTTAGTATCCAGTGCAATGAACAATTACAATTCACATTTCAAGAAAGTCCCACAAAAGAAAACTTTCCTTTTGATTTCGGACGCGATGAGACCCATCTTTCTTTTCATTTAATTCTGACAATTAGAGATTCGGAAAAGTGGCTTTCATGGTATTTCTAATTGGAGATAGATAAGGCGAGACTGTTATAGAGGTGAATCGTGTACCTTTTGCGTAATGGAAAGAAGGAACATATTATTTTTTTCAAATGAAAGCTATAGTTGCAAAGTAGGGTATTTGCATTTCGTCATAGGCTATAACATCCTGCGCAAAACACTTCTGAAAAATTTTGCGACCCTATATTATATGTCACGGAAAAAGAATTTAGATTTCTCTTCAGGGCCTGGTTAATATCTGGTACTTTCGATTATCCCTTTCCGTCGTCACGGTGTAATTGAATGAAATAAATTCACACACTTGTAATGAAGTGACTTGCTATTGATTTTAAAAAAAGTTTCACAAGCAAGGTTTGAGTAATATGTACCCGTTGCATAGTTTATAATGAATCAGCTGTATACTGCGAAAGTTCCCATTGTGAAAACAACAGTTTGGAATTTTCTTCCGAATGTAACTACTTTGAGTTGTGTAAAAAATAATATTTCTGTGATGAATAATTTCACATTGAAGTGGAAACTTTGGATTTAACTTTTCAGGTTTTCTTATGATTGGAATTTTATGAAATATTGTTGGAATGATGCAATAATTTTCGAAATCTGTGACGAGCTTGCCCACGATTATTGAGAAGTGAACGGGTTCCCATGGTGTAGTGGTTATCACATCCGCTTTACACGCGGAAGGTCCCAGGTTCGAAACCTGGTGGGAACACTCCTGAAAGAGAAATAAATTTTTAAGGAATTGATAGTAAAATGTTTTCGCAATGTGTTTCATACGTCCCAGTGTATCTACCTTTGCAGTGCTTTGTACTTTTAAGAAGCATTTTGGGAGAATTCCACTAAATATGTGGTTTTTGTATCGATTTGACTTCGAAAGAGGACCCACCATGTAATTAAAGACTATAAGCGTGTACCCATGGTGTAGTGGTTATCACATCCGCTTCACACGCGGAAGGTCCCAGGTTCGAAACCTGGTGGGTACATTCCGAGCCATTCAAACATTTTGAATTAAGTGGTTAGAAAAAGGCAGTATTGTGGGACCTACAATTTACATTTCGTATCCAAAGCGATGTGTGCTCTTTTATGTTTTTATATTGATTCTGTACATTCGAAATTGGGAAACGGCTTTCTGTTCTTTTTCTAATATCTATCGATAAGACTATAGAGTTAAAGGACAGAATCTTGCGCCCGAGAGGTAGATGTAGAGGTTTTGATATTTTTTTCTGCAATATTTATTTTCCGGATTCAAAATGTGGTGTTTTCAGTCCGTCTTTGGTTTAATGTGATAATGGAACCCCTTCGGTAAATGTTTGCAACTCCTTTCCAAATTATTCGGCTAAAGCAATTGGGATTCCTTTTCAGATACTGGTTTAAAATAATAGTGTGAATCCTCGTTATATTTAAAGATACATTTTCATCTTTAGAGAGTAAAGGATGGCAAACAATTCATTTTCACATAGTAAATTGCTCTTTCTTGACCCGGTAACCAAAGCGCGTGTCTAGCCGTGTGTACCCATGGTGTAGTGGTTATCACATCCGCCTAACACGCGGAAGGTCCCAGGTTCGAAACCTGGTGGGTACAACGAGAGCCGGTGATATGCTTTTCTTTAAACCGTCAGAAGACTTTTTGAAAGAGCATATTTTTTTCGGTGAAACATAATTTCGCATTTAATCTCGAACTAAAATTCCACTTTTACGTTTAGCATTTTACTATTTTATGTACTATGGAAGGAATTTAAATATTTAAGCGAATTGATGTAAAATGTGGGGATGCCAACGCGTCCACGTAGTGTAGTGAACATTACACGCGAAAGGTCCCGAATACAAAACGTAATGGGTTCAATGCGAAACGTTAGTATCCAGTGCAATGAACAATTAAAATTCACATTTCAAGAAAGTCCCACAAAAGAAAAGTTTCCTTTTGATTTCGGACGCGATGAGACCCATCTTTCTTTTCATTTAATTCTGACAATTAGAGATTCGGAAAAGTGGCTTTCATGGTATTTCTAATTGGAGATAGATAAGGCGAGACTGTTATAGAGGTGAATCGTGTACCTTTTGCGTAATGGAAAGAAGGAACATATTATTTTTTTCAATTGAAAGCTATAGTTGCAAAGTAGGGTATTTGCATTTCGTCATAGGCTATAACATCCTGCGCAAAACACTTCTGAAAAATTTTGCGACCCTATATTATATGTCACGGAAAAAGAATTTAGATTTCTCTTCAGGGCCTGGTTAATATCTGGTACTTTCGATTATCCCTTTCCGTCGTCACGGTGTAATTGAATGAAATAAATTCACACACTTGTAATGAAGTGACTTGCTATTGATTTTAAAAAAAGTTTCACAAGCAAGGTTTGAGTAATATGTACCCGTTGCATAGTTTATAATGAATCAGCTGTATACTGCGAAAGTTCCCATTGTGAAAACAACAGTTTGGAATTTTCTTCCGAATGTAACTACTTTGAGTTGTGTAAAAAATAATATTTCTGTGATGAATAATTTCACATTGAAGTGGAAACTTTGGATTTAACTTTTCAGGTTTTCTTATGATTGGAATTTTATGAAATATTGTTGGAATGATGCAATAATTTTCGAAATCTGACGAGTTTGCCCACGATTATTGAGAAGTGAATGGTTCCATGTGTAGTGGTTATCACATCCGCTTTACACGGAAGGTCCCAGGTTCGAAACCGGTGGGAACACTCCTGAAAGAGAAATAAATTTTAAGGAATTGATAGTAAAATGTTTTCCAATGTGTTTCATGTCCCAGTGTATCTACCTTTGCAAGTCTTGTACTTTTAAGAAGCATTTTGGGAAATTCCACTAAATATGTGGTTTTGTATCGATTTACTTCGAAAGAGGACCCACCATGTAATAAGACTATAAGCGTGTACCCATGGTGAGCATCACATCGCTCACACGCGGAAGGTCCCAAGTTCGAAACCTGGTAAGGTGTTATCTCGAACATTTTGAATTAAGTGGTTGAAAGGCGTATTGTGGAACCCAAATTTACATTTCGTATTCAAAGCGATGTGTGCTCTTTATGTTTTTTATATTGATTCTGTACATTCGAAATTGGAAACGGCTTTCTGTTCTTTTTAATCTATGATAAGACTATAGAGTTAAAGGACAGAACGCCTGAGAGGTAGATGTGAGGTTTGATATTTTTTCTGCAATATTTATTTTCCGGATTCAAAATGTGGTGTTTTCAGTCTTTGGTTTAATGTGATAATGGAACCCTTCGGTAAATGTTTGCAACTCCTTTCAAATTATTCGGCTAAACAATTGGGATTCTTTTCAGATACTGGTTTATAAATAGTGTGAATCCTCGTTATATTTAAAGATACATTTTCATCTTTAAGAGTAAAGACAAACAATTCATTTTCACATAGTAAATTGCTCTTCTTGACCCGGTAACCAAAGCGCGTGTTCAGTCGGTGTACCCATGGTGTAGTGGTTATCACATCCGCCTAACACGCGGAAGGTCCCAGGTTCGAAACCATGGGTACAACGAGAGTCGGTGATATGCTTTTCTTTAAACCGTCAGAAGACTTTTGAAAGAGCATATTTTTTCGGTGAAACATAATTTCGATATCTCGAACTAAAATTCCACTTTTACGTTTAGCATTTTACTATTTTATGTACTATGGAAGGAATTTAAATATTTAGCAGAATTGATGTAAAATGGATGCCAACGCGTCCACGTAGTGTAGTGAACATTACACGCGAAAGGTCCGAATACAAACGTAATGGGTTCAATGGAAACGTTAGTATCCAGTGCAATGAACAATAAAATTCACATTTCAAGAAAGTCCCACAAAAGAAAACTTTCCTTTTGATTTCGACGCGATGAGACCCATCTTTCTTTTCATTTAATTTGACAAAATTAGAGATTCGGAAAAGTGGCTTTCTATGGTATTTCTAATTGGAGATAGATAAGGCGAGACTGTTATAGAGGTGAATCGTGTACCTTTGCGGAAAGAAGGAACATATTATTTTTTTCAATTAAAGCTATAGTTGCAAAGTAGGTATTTGCATTTCGTCATAGGCTATAACATCCTGCGCAAAATTCTGAAAAATTTGGACCCTATATTATATGTCACGGAAAAAGAATTTAGATTTCTCTTATGGTTAATATCTGGTACTTTCGATTATCCTTTCCGTCGTCACGGTGTAATTGAATGAAATAAATTCACACTTGTAATGAAGTGACTTGTATTGATTTTAAAAAAAGTTTCACAAGCAAGGTTTGATAATATGTACCCGTTGCATAGTTTATAATGAATCAGCTGTATACTGCGAAAGTTCCATTTGAAACAAAGTTTGGAATTTTCTTCCGAATGTAACTACTTTGAGTTGTGTAAAATAATATTTCTGTGATGAATAATTTCACATTGAAGTGGAAACTTTGATTAACCGGTTTTCTTTATGATTGAATTTTATGAAATATTGTTGGAATGATGCAATAATTCGAAATCTGTGACGAGCTGTCCCGATTATTGAGAAGTGAACGGTTCCAGTGGTGAGGGTTATCACATCCGCTTTAAGCGGAAGTCCCAGGTTCGAAACCTGGTGGGAACACTTGAAAGAGAAATAAATTTTAAGGAATTATAGTAAAATGTTTTCAATGTGTTTTACGTCCCAGTGTATCTACTCTTGCAGTGCTTTGTACTTTAAGAAGCATTTTGGGAGAATTCACCTGTGGTTTTTGTATCGATTTGACTTCGAAGAGGACCCACCATGAATAATTAAAACTATAAGCGTATCCCATGGTGTAGTGGTTATCACATCCGCTTCACACGCGGAAGGTCCCAGGTTGAAACCTGCAGCCAGCCACCTCAAACATTTTGAATTGTAGTTAGAAAAGGTATTGTGGGACCCAAATTTACATTTCGTATCCAAAGCGATGTGTGCTCTTTTATGTTTTATATTGATCCTGTACATTCGAAATTGGAAACGTATTTCTGTTCTTTTCTTAATATCATCGATAGCTAAGAGCTTGGACAGAATCTTGCGCCAGATGTAAGAGGTTTTGATATTTTTCACTATAATATTTTATTCCATTCAAAATGTGGTGTTTTCATTCCGTCTTTGGTTTAATGTGATAATGGAACCCTTCGTGCAAATGTTTGCAACTCCTTTCCAAATCTGAACTGAATTGGGATTCCTTTTAGATACTGGTTTAAAATAAGTGTGAAACTCGTTAGTATTTAAAGATTACATTTATTTTAGATGGTAGACAATTCATTTTCCATAGTAAATTGTCTCTTGACCTGTACCAAAGCGCGGTCTAGCCTGTTGTTACCCATGGTGTAGTGGTTATCCCCTTACGCGGAAGGTCCCTAGGTTCGAACCTGGTGGGTCAACGAGCCGGTGGCCTCTAAACGAGAAGACTAAATTTTAAGCAATTTTAGTGAAATTTGCATTTCGAATGTTATTATTACGTTAGATGTTCTACTAGTTTGTACTTTGCTACTATTGGAAGAATTCATAAATATGGTTTTTTACATGCTCTGAAGGACCATCGATGTAAATGTAAGGGAGCACAACGCTGTCCTGTGTGTAGTGAGCACATTCACGCATCCGATTAATACGAAGGTTCACGAAGGATCTGACGAAATCCTGTGTACAAGTCCATCAAACGAATTCCTTTTGAATTAAGTGGTCGGATAAACAAGCTGTTATTTGAATCTACAATAAATTACGATTGTTCTGGTATCCAAAGCAGATGTGAGCTCTACTGTTTTATATTGAGTGAATCTTATCATTGATTCGGGAAACAGGAACTTTTCTTTTTCAGTCTTGATAAGACTATAGAGTTAAGGACAAATTTCAGAGGGTATTGCATTGTAGAGGTTCTTGGCAATTCTAACCTTTGCTTGCGAACCTATATTATTGTCCTGATAAAATGGTGTGTTTCATCTCGTGGCCTGGATTTAATGTGATAAGTGTATCGATTACCCTTCCGTCGTACAATTTTGAACTCTTTCCACATTTTGTCTAAGTAGCTATGGGATCTAAATTCTGCAGTTTGAGAATACCCTGAAGTTTATAATAGCTTATATGGAAATCATGTAAACACGTTTGAATCTTCCGAGACTCTTGTTATATTTATAATCATGATGGAACTTATAACTTTTCGGATTTCATGATTTTATGGTTGTTGGAAGAGATATTTCATCTTGATGCTGCCCACATTTGGTAAACGGTTCCCATTGTAGTGTTTATCCTTAGCGGAAGGTCAGGTAAAACATTGGGACTCCGAAATTAAGAATTGATGAATTTCCTTTGCGCAGTTCTCCTTGCATTGTATCTGAAATTTGGAATTCCTAATAGGTTTGTTGTTCAAGTACCATGCTGGAAGCGTGTACAGGTGGTATCACTGCTTCCCGAGGGTTGATTGTATTCCAACCATTCAACATTAAATGGTTAAAAGGCAATTGTGGCATTCGTATCCAAAGATGTGGTTAAGTATATTGATTCGTACTTAACATCTGTTTTATCCTTAATTGAGAGACTCTTCCCGAGGGTGAGTAGGTTTTCGCATATTCCATTCAAAGGTTTGTCTTTGTTTGTGAGAAGAACTGTATTATCCAATATATCAACAATTATTTTAGTACTGATATAGTGAATTGATATAGATCTAGGAGTAAGATGACAATCTTTTTCCTAATGTCTTTCACACTGTCTACCTGTGACACCAGGTGATGTATACCATTAACTTCCTTACCTGGTGGTGCTGATGCTTTTGGACTAAGACATATTTTCTGTCCCATTTAATCTCGAACTAAAATTCCACTTTTACGTTTAGCATTTTAACTATACTAATAGGAAGGAATTTAATATCTTAGCGACTGAGTAAAATATTGGGGATGCCACGTCACGTAGTGGAACATTACACCGAAAGGTCCCGATACAAAATAATGTCTTAAGCGAAACGTTAGTATCCAGTGCATGAACAATAAATTCACAGTGAAAGTCCCACAAAGAAAACTTTCCTTTGATTTCGGACCGATGAGACCCATCTTCTTTTCATTTAATTCTGACAATTAGATGATTCCGGAAAAGTGGCTTTCTTCATGGTATTCAATTGAGAATAGATGAAGGCATTGAGACTAGTTATAGAGTTGACATCGTGTACCTTTATCGTAATGGTAAGGAAGGAACATATTATTTTTTTCAATTGAAAGCTATAGTTGCAAAGTAGGATTTGCATTCGTCATAGGTATAACATCCTGCAAAAACACTTCTAGAAAATTTTATCCTTATTAGTATGTCACGGAAAAATTTAGAATTTTCTTCAGGTGCCTGGATTATCTGGTAATCTTTGATTATCCCTTTCCGTCTGTCACGGTGTAATCTGAATGAAATAATTCCCATACACTTGTATGAAGTGACTTGCTATTGATTTTAAAAAGTTTACAAGCGGTTTGGTAATATGTACGTTCATATGTTTATAATGATCAGCTGTAGCCTGCGAAAGTTCCCATTGTGAAAAAAACAGTTTGGAATTTTCTTCCGAATGTACTACTTTAGGTTGTGTAAAAATAATATTTGCTGATATAATAATTTCATTGAAGTGGAAACTTTGACCTTTCAGGATTTCTCTTATGATTGAATTTTATAAATATTGTTGAGAATGATGCAATAATTTTCTGAAATCTGTGACGACTGTCTAACGATTATTGGAGTGGAACGGTTCCGGTGTAGTGGTTATCACATCATTTACACGACTTGAAGTCCCAGTTCGAAACATATTGGGAACACCCTGAAGAGAAATAAATTAAGGAATTGATAGTAAAATTTTTGCAATGTGTTTACGTCCACCTATGATCCTACCTTTGTAGTGTTTGTATCTTTTAAAGAAGCATTTTAGGAGATTCCACTAAATAGTGGTTGTTTTGTATCGTGTTGACTTCGAAGAGGACCCACCCATGTAATTAAAACTTTAAGCGTACGCCCATGGTGTAGTGGGCTACACATCCGCGCCGGAAGGTCCAGGTTCGAACGTGGTACAGTGTCCGCCATTCAACATTTGAATTAAAGTTGGTTATAAAAAAGGCTGTATTGTAGGACCTAAAATTGGTACATTCGTATCCAAAGCGATGTGTGCTCTTTTTATGTTTTTGAGCATTGATTCTGTCATTCAGTGGGAACGGGTTGTTCTTTTTCAATACCCTATGATAGATATATAGAGTTGGACAGAATCTTGTCGGAGGTAGAAGTAGAGGTTTTGATATTTTTTCTGTCATATATTTCCGGATTCAAAATGTGGTGTTTTATCCGTCTTTGGTTTAATGTGATAATGGAACCCCTTCAGGTAAAGTGCAACTCTGCTTCCAATTCGGCTAAAGCATCGGATTCCTTTCTAGATACTGGTTTAAAATAATAGTGATGAATCACCGTTATATTTAAAGATACATTTCATCTTGCTTAGAGTAAAGGATGGCAAAACAATTCTTTTCACACATAGAAATTGCTCTTTTCTTACCTGGTATTAAAGCGCGTGCTCAGGCCATGTGTGTACCTTATGGTAGTGGTTACCACATCCGCTAACTACTTGCGAAAGGTCCCAGGTTACCTGGTGGGACAAAGGCAGTGATATGCTTTTCTTTTAAAGCGTCGCGAAGACTTCGAAAGAGCATATTTTTTCGGTGAACATAATTCGCATTTAATCTCGAACTAAAATTCCACTTTGATTTGTTTTATCTTTGTGCCATTATATGGAAGAATCTCTTAAATATTTAAGCGAATTGAGTGTAAAATTGGGGATGCACGCGTCCACGTAGTCTGAATACTCCGCGTCAAACTATGGGTTTCATGCGAAACGTTAGTATCCAGTAATGAACAATTAAAATTCACATTTCAAGAAAGTCCCAAAGAAAACTTTCCTTTTGATTTCGGACGATGAGACCCATCTTTCTTTTCATTTATTCTGACAATTAGAGATTCGAAAAGTATTTCTTGTGGTATTTCTAATTGGAGATAGATAAGGCGAGACTGTTATAGAGGTGAATCGTGTACCTTTATGTAATGGAAAAAGAAACATATTTATTTTTTCAAAAACTATAGTTGAAAGTAGGGTATTTGCATTTCGTCATAGGCTGGAAATCCTGCGCAAACACTTCTGAAAATCTTATGAATCCTATATTATATGTCACGGAAAAGAATTTGATTTCTCTTCAGGGCCTGGTTAATATCTGGTACTATTATCCCTTTCTTCGTCGGTGTAATTGAATGAAATAAATTCACACTTGAATGAAGTGACTTGCATGATTTTAAAAAGTTTCACAACAACGGTTTGAGTAATATGTACCCAGCTGTATAATGAGATTTATCTTCATGAAAGTTCCATTGTGAAACAACAGTGTTGACATTTTCTCTCGAATGTAACATTTGAGTTGTGTAAAAATAATATTTCTGTGATGAATAATTAATTGAGTGGAAACTTGATTTAACCTTTAGGTTTTCTTATGATTGAATTTTTGAAATATTGTTGGAATGATGCAATAATTTTCGAAACTGTGACGAGCGCTTGCATGATTATTGAGAAGTGAACGGGTTCCCATGTGTAGTGGTTATCACATCCGCTTCGCAGGAGGTCAGCTCGTGGGAACACCTGAAAGAGAATAATAAATTTTATGAGAATTGATAGTAAAATTTTTCCATAATGTGTTTCTACTCGTCCAGTGTATCTACCTGCAGATGCTTTGTTAGAAGCATTTTGGGAGAATTCCACTAAATATGTGGTTTGTATCGATTTGACCTGAAGAGGACCACCATGTAATTAAACACTATAAGCGTGTACCTCATGGTAGTGGGATCACATCTCACACGCGGAAGGTCAGTTCGAAACCTGGTGCAGCATTCTCAAACATTTTAGAATCAAGTGTTAAAAGGCTGTAGGGAGGACCAGATTTACATTTTCATCCAAAGCGATGTGCTCTTTTATGTTTTTATATTGATTCTGTACATTCGAAATTGAAACGGCTTTCTGTTCTTTTCTAATATCTATCGATAAGACTATAGAGTTAAGGACAGAATCTTTGCGCCCGAGAGGTAGATGTAGAGGTTTGATATTTTTCTGCAATTTATTTCCATTCAAAATGTGGTGTTTTCAGTCCGTCTTTGGTTTAATGTGATATAAGACCCCTTCGGTAAATGTTTGCAACTCCTTTCCAAATTATTCGGCTAAACGATTCCTTTTCAGATACTGGTTTAAAATAATAGTGTGAATCCTCTTATATTTAAGATACATTTTCATCTTTAGAGAGTAAAGATGGCAAACAATTTTTCACATAGTAAATTCCTTTCTTGACCGGTAACCAAAGGCACTAGCCGTGTGTACCCATGTGTAGTGGTTATACATCCTTCCAACATGGAAGGTCCCAGGTTCGAAAACCTGGTGGTACAACAGAGCCGGTGATAGCTTTTCTTTAAACCCAGAAGACTTTGAAAGAGCATATTTTTTCAGTGAAAACATAATTTCACTTTAATCTGAACTAAAATTCCACTTTACGTTTAGCATTTTACTATTTTATGTATATGGAGAATTTAAATATTTAAGCAATTGATGTAAAATGTGGGGATGCCAACGCGTCCACGTAGTGTAGTGAACATTACACGCGAAAGGTCCGAATACAAAACGTAATGGGTTCAATGCAGCTGATTGTATCCAGTGCAATGAACAATTAAAATTCACATTTCAAGAAATACGCCAAAAGAAAACTTTCCTTTTGATTTCAGGATGAGACCCATCTTTCTTTTCATTTAATTCTGACAATTAGAGATTCGGAAAAGTGGCTTCATGGTATTTCTAATTGAGATAGATAAGGCGAGACTGTTATAGAGTGAATCGTGTACCTTTTGTATGAAGAAGGAACATATTATTTTTCAATTGAAAGCTATAGTTGCAAAGTAGGGTATTTGTCTTTCGTCATAGGCTATAACATCCTGCAAAAACACTTTATTCTTATACCTATATTATAGTCGGAAAGAATTTAGATTTCTTCAGGGCCTGTTATATTTCTGATTATCCCTTTCCTCATCACGTGTGATTGAATGAAATAAATTCACAATTGTAATGAAGTGACTTGTATTGATTTTAAAAAGTTTCACAAGCAAGTTTGAGTATATAATTCCGTTGCATAGTTTATATAGAATCAGCTGTATACTGCGAAAGTTCCCATGTGAAACAACAGTTTTGAATTTTCTTCCGAATGTAACACTTTGAGTTGTGTAAAATAATATTTCTGTGATGAATAATTTCACATTGAAGTGGAAACTTTGGATTTAACTTTCAGGTTTTCTTATGATTGAATTTTATGAAATATTGTTGGAATGATGCAATTTTCGAAATCTGGACGAGCTTGCCCATCGATTATTGAGAAGTGAATCTACCATATGGTGTAGTGGTTATCACATCCCTTTCACCGGAAGGTCCCTGTTCGAAACCGTGGAACACCTCGAAGAGAAATAAATTTAAGGAATTGATAGTAAAATGTTTTCGCAATGTGTTTCATACGTCCCAGTGATCTACCTTTGCAGTGCTTTGTACTTTAAGAAGCATTTTGGGAGAATTCCACTAAATATGTGGTTTTGTATCGATTTGACTTCGAAGAGGACCCACCATGTAATTAAAACTATAAGCGTGTACCATGAGTGGTTATCATCGCTACACCGGAAGGTTCCGTTGAAACCTGGGCCAACCAAGATTTTGAATTAAGTGGTTAAAAAGCGGCTGTATGGACCTAAAATTTCTTGTATCCAAAAGCGATGGCTCTATGTTTTTATTAGACATTCTGAAATTGGGAAACGGCTTTCTGTTCTTTTTCATATATCGATAAGACTAAGTTAGGACAGAATCTTGGGCCCGGAGGTAGAAGTAGAGGTTTTGATATTTTTCTCATTTATTTTCCGATTCAGCTGTGGTGTTTTCAGTCCGTCTTGGTTTAATGTGATAATGGAACCTCTTCGAGTTACCTCTTAGTTCGGCTAAAGCAATCGATCTTTTCGTTGGTTTAAATAATAGTGTGAATCCTCGTTAAAGATATTTTCATCTTTAGTAAATGACAATTTTTCACATAGTAAATTGCTCTTTCGACCTGGAATCAAAGCGCGAGTTCAGCCGTGTACCCAGGCAGTGGTTATCACATCCGCCTAACACGCGAAGGTCCCAGGTTCGAAAACCCGGTAAGGTTGAGAGATGCGTGATATGCTTTTCTTTTAACCGTAGGACTTTTGAAAGAGACATTTTTTCGGTAAAACATAATTTCGCATTTAATTCAACTAAAATTCCACTTACGTTTAGCATTTTATTTTATGTACTATGGAAGAATTAAATTTACAAAATTGATGTAAATGTGATGCTAACGCGTCCACGTAGTGTAGTGAACATTACAACAGCGTCCTGAATACAAAACGTAATGGGTTCAATGCGAAACGTTATATCCAGTGTAATGAACAATTCACCATTTCAAGAAAGTCCCACAAAAAACTTCCTTTGATTTCGGACGCGATGAGACCCATCTTCTTTTCATTTAATTCTGACAATTAGAGATTCGGAAAAGTGGCTTCTGGCTGGTTTCAATTGAGATAGATAGCGAGACTGTTATAGAGGTGAATCGTGTACCTTTTGCGTAATGGAAAGAAGGAACATATTATCGAGTTTTCATAGTTGCAAAGTATAGGTATTTGCATTTCGTCATAGGCTATAACATCCTGGCAAAACACTTGAAAAATTTTGCGACCCTATATTATATGTCACGGAAAAAGAATTTAGATTTCTCTTCAGGGCCTGGTTAATATCTGGTACTTCGATTATCCCTTTCCTCGTCACGGTGTAAATGAAATAAATTTCATTGTAATGAAGTGACTTGCTATTGATTTTAAAAAAAAGTTTCACAAGCTAGTTTGAGTAATATGTACCCGCTACAGTTTATAATAATCACAGACATCAGTGAAAGTCCTCCATGTGAAACAACAGTTTGGAATTTTCCGAATGAATACTTGAGTTGTGTAAAAAATAATATTCTGTGATGAAATCATTACATTGAAGTGGAAACTTTGGATTTAACTTTCAGTTTTCTTATGATTGGAATTTTATGAAATATTGTTGGAATGATGCAATAATTTTCGGTTGTGACGAGCTTTGCCCACGATTATTGAGAAGTGAACGGGTTCCTATGGTGTAGTGGTATCAATCCGTTTTACATCGCGGAAGGTCCCAGGTTCGAAACCCGGGAACACTCCTGAAAGAGAAATAAATTTTTAAGGAATTGATAGTAAAAATGTTTTATGCAATGTGTTTCATACGTCCAGTGTATCTACCTTTGCAGTGCTTTTGACTTTAAGAAGCATTTTGGGAGAATCACCAAATGTGGTTTTTGTATCGATTTGACTGAAGAGGACCACCATGTAATTAAACTATAAGCGTACCCATGGTGTAGTGGGATCACATCCGCTTCACATCGCGGAAGTTCCAGGTTCGAAACCTGGTGGGTACAGCCATTCAAACATTTTAATTAAGTGGTTAAAAGGCGTATTGTGGACCTAAAATTACATTTCCTTCGATCCAAAGCGATGTGTGCTCTTTTATGTTTTTATATTGATTCTGTATCATTCGAAATTGGGAAAACGCTTTCTGTTCTTTTTTTCTAATACTCATCATAAGACTATAGAGTTAAAGGACAGAATCTTCGCCCGAGAGGTAGAAGTAGAGGTTTTGATATTTTTTCTGCAATGTTTATTTTCCGGATTCAAAATGTGGTGTTTTAAACTGTCTATGGTTTAATTGATAATGGAACCCCGAGTAAATGTTTTGCAACTCCTTTCCAAATTATTGCAAAGCAATCGATTCTTTTCAGATACTGGTTTAAAATAATAGTGTGAATCTCGTTATATTTAAAGATACATTTTCATCTTTTAGAGAGTAAAGCGATGGTAAACAATTCTTTTCATCATAGTAATTATCTTTTTCTTTGACCTGAGTATTAAAGCGCGTGTCTAGCCGTGTCCATGGTGTATGGTTTAATACATCCGCCTAACATCGCGAAAGGTCCCAGGTTCAACCTGGTGGGTACAACGGTAGAATATTTTAAACCGTAGAAGACTTTTTGAAAGATGCATATTTTTTTCGAGTGAAACATAATTTCGCATTTAATCTCGAACTAAAATTCCACTTTACTTTGTAGGGGCATTTTGCATACTATTTTATGTACTATGGAAGGATTTAAATATTTAAGCAAATTGATGTACCTGTGGGATGCCAACGCGTCCACGTAGTGAACATTACACGCGAAAGGTCCTGAATACGTTCAATGGGTTCAATGCGAAACGTTTTGAATGTAACTACTTTGAGTTGTGTAAAAAATAATATTTCAGATGAATAATTTCTTACTGAAGTGGAAACTTTGATTTAACTTTTCAGGTTTCTTATGATTGGAATTCTTATGAAATATTGTTGAATGATGCAATAATTTTCGAAATCTGTGACGAGCTTAGTCTTAATGATATGTTGAGAAGTGAACGGTCGTTCCCATGGTGGTGGAAAGCTATCACATCCGCTTTAACGCGGAAGGTCCCAGGTTCGAAACCCGGTGGGAACACTCTGAAAGAGAAATAAATTTTTAAGGAATTGATAGTAAAATTTTTTCGCAATGTGTTCATACGTCCCAGTGTATCTACCTTTGCAGTAGCTTTTGTACTTTAAGAAGCATTTTGGAGAATTCCACTCAAATATGTGGTTTGTATCGATTTGATTGAAAGAGGACCCACCAGTAAAAACTATAAGGTAAATCATGGTGTAGTGGTTATCACATCCGCTTCACACAAGGGAAGTTCCAGGTTCGAAACCTTGTACACATTCAAACATTTGAATTGGTTAGAAAGGCGTATTGTGGACCTAAAATTTACATTTCGTATCCAAAGCGATGTGTGCCCTTTATGTATTTTATGATTCTATATCATTCTGAAATTGGGAAAACGGCTTTCTGTTCTTTTCTTAATACCTAATCGATAAGACTATAGAGTTAAAGGACGAATCTTGCGCCCGAGAGGTAGAAGTAGAGGTTTTGATATTTTTCTGCAATTTCGGATTCAAAATGTGGTGTTTTCAGTCTTTGGTTTAATGTGATAATGGAACCCTTCAAAGTTTGCAACTCTTTCCAAATTATTCGGCTAAAGTAGAGTTTTGATTCCTTTTCAGATACCATGGTTTAAAATAATAGTGTCGAATCCTCTGTTATATTTAAAGATACATTTTCATCTTTTAGAGAGTAGAGTGATGGTCAAACAATTCATTTTCACATAGTAAATTGCCTTTTAGCTTGACCTCAGGCAACCAAAGTGTGTCTAGCCGTGTGTACCCATGGTGTAGTGGTATCACATCCCCTAACACGCGAAGGTCCTGTGTCTGAAACCTGGTGGGTACACGAGGCCGGTGATATGTCTTTTCTTTAAACCGTCAGAAGACTTTTGAAAGAGCATATTTTTTCGGTGAACATAATTTCGCATTTATCTCGAACTAAAAAATTCCACTTTACGTTTAGCATTTTACTATTTTATGTTCTATGGAAGGAATTTAAATATTTAAGCAATTGAGTAAATGTGGGATGACCATGTCCACGTAGTGTAGTAAATTACACGCAAAGGTCGAATACAAAATAGTTCAATGCAAACGTTAGTATCCATCAATGAACAATTAAATTCACATTCAAAAGTCCCACAAAGAAAACTTTCCTTTGATTGCCTGACGCGTGGACCCATCTTTCATTTAATTCTGACAATTAGAGATTCGAAAAGTGGTTCAGGTATTTCTAATTGAGATAGAAAGGCGACGTGAGGTGAATCGTACCTTTGCGTAATGGAAAGAAGTAGATCATTATTTTTCAATTGAAAGCTATAGCTGCAAAGTATTTGCATTTCGTCATAGCTAAACATCCTTGCAAAACACTTGAAAAATTATGCCCTATATATGTCACAAAAGAATTTAGATTTTCTCAGGTCTGGTTAATCTGGTACTTTTCAATTATCCCTTATCCGTCGTCACGGTGTAATTGATGAAATAATGACTACTTGTAATGAAGCATCGACATATTGATTTTAAAAAAAGTTTCCAGCAAGGTTTGAGTATGTACCAAGTTGCATAGTTTATAATGAATCGTATAGCCAGAAAGTTCACTTGTGAAAACAACAGTTTGAATTTTCTTCCGAATGTAACTACTTTGAGTTGTGTAAAAATAATTTGTGATGAATAATTCTCATTGAGTGGAAACTTTGGATTTAACTTTTCAGGATTTCTTTGATTGAATTTTATGAAATATTGTTGGAATGATGCACACTTTCGAAATCTGTGACGAGCTTCCAATGATTATTGAGAAGGAACGTTCCCATGGTGTAGTGGTTATCATCCGCTTTATATGCGGAAGGGCTCCAGGTTCAAACCTGGTGGGGAATCTCTGAAAGAGAAATAAATTTTAGAATTGATAGTAAAATGTTTTCGCAATGTGTTCATACGTCCCAGTGTATCTACCTTTGCAGTGTTTTGTACTTTTACATTTTGGGAGAATTCCTCAAGTATGTGATGTTTTGTATCGTTGACTTCGAAAGAGGACCCCCATGTGTAATTAAATCTTCATAACGTAAAATCTTCCCATGGTGTAGTAGAGCTTATCAGCATCCCTATCGCGGAAGGTTGGTTCGAAACCTGGTGTATCAGCCATTCAAAACATTTTAATTAAGATGGTTATAGAAAAAGGCGATTGTGGGACTAAAAACATTTGCGTATCCAAAGCGATGTGTGCTCTTATGTTTTATCATTGATTCTATATCATTCGAGAGTAACGGCTTTCTGCTTTATCATATCTATCGATAAGACTATAGAGTAAAGGACCGAATCTTGCGCCCGGAGGAGAAGAGTAGTATTAGAACATTTTTCTGCACATTTATTTTCCAGTTCAAAAATGTGATTTTTCCAGTGTCTGTATTTAAGTGATAATGGAACTCTTCGAGTAAATGTTTGCAACTCCTTTCAAATTATTCGCTGCTCGACCTTGTGTACTGTAAATGTGAATCTATATTTAAAGAGTACATTTAGAGAGTAAGGCAACTAATTCTTTTCACATAGTAAATCTGCTCTTTCTCTGTACCGGTAACCAAAGGGTTCAGCCGTGTGTAGCCATGGGTGTGGTTAGCCATCCGCCTAAACGGAAGGCGTCCCAGGTTCGAAACCTGGCGGGTACAACGAGTCGACATGCTTTTCTTAAACCGTCAGAAGACTTTTGAAACAGATTTCTTGAAACAATTTCTGATGTACCACTGAACTAAAATTCACTTTTACGTTTAGCATTTTATATTGTATATGTACTATGGAAGGAATTTAAATATTTGATGCTGCAAATGTGGGATGCAACGTCCACGATGATAGTGAACATTACACGCAAAGGTCCCGAATACAAAACAATGTTCAATCGAACGATTAGTATCCAGTGCAATGAACAATTAAAAAGATTCAACGGTCCCAAAAATATTCCTTTGATTTTTCGGACGCGATGACCCATCTTTCTTTTCATTTACTTCTGACAATTAGGTTTCGAAAGTGTTTCTGTAGATCATTTCTAATTGGAGAATGATAAGCATACAATATAGAGGTGAATCGTGAACAAATCTTGGTAATGGGAAGGAGAACTTTTTTCACTGAAGTTATATTGAAAGTGGTGGTAATTATATCAACATCCTGCGCAAAACACTAAATTTTGGTGCAGCCCTATATTATATGTCACGGAAAAGAATTTAGATTTCTCTTCGGGCCTTGGTTATATCTAGCTACTGATTCTATTCCGTCGTCAACTGTAATTGAATGAAAATAATAATAATTATGCGAAGTGACTAGATTGATTTAAAAAGTTCCAAGCAGTTTAAATATGTACCGTGCATAGTTTATAAGTGAATCGTTGATACTGAAAATCGAAAGTTCCCATTGTGAAAACAACAGTTTGCATCTTCTTGAATGTTAACTACTTTGGTTGTGTAAAAAATAATATTTCGTGATGAAGTACATTTCACAGTGGAAGGGAACTTTAGTTTAACTTTTCAGGTTTTTTCTTATGATTGAATTTTATGAATATTGTTGAAATGATGCACAATTTTCAAAATCTGTGACGAGCCTTCCACGATGTGATATATTAGAACGTTCCCAGGTAGTGGTTGTCACATCCGCTTTACACGAAGGTCAGTTCGAAACCTGTGGGAACACTCCCTGAAAGAAAAAATAAATTTTAGAGGAATTGATAGTAAATGTTTTCCGCAATGTGTTTACAACGTCCAGTGTATCTACCTTGTAGTAGCTGTACTTTAAGAAGTTATTGGGAATTCTCACTAAATATGTGTTTTTGTATCATGTTGACTGCTGAAGAGGTTCACCTGTAATGAAGACTATAAGCGTGTCCACGGTGTGGTGGTTATCACATGCCTGCTTCCACACACAGGTCCCGGTTCAAACCGTGGTTATTCCGAGCCATTCACATTTTGATTAAATGTTGAAAAAGGCAGCTATTAGGGGACCCTTATTTCTGTATCCAAAGGATGTGATGCTCTTTATTGTTTTATATTGATTCTGTACACTTCAAATGGGAAACGGCTTTCTGTTCTTCTAACATATCGATAAGACTATAGGTTAAAGACAGAATCTTGCGCTTAGAGGAGATGAGAGGTTTTGATATTTTCTGCAATATTTATTTTCGGATTCATGGTGTTTCAGTCCGTCTTTGGTTTAATGTGATAATGGAACCCCTAATGGTAATGCGTTGCAACTCCTTCCAAATCGTAAAAACAGTGATCTTCAGATACTGGTTTCAAATAATAGTGTAATCCTCGTTTTTTAAGAATACATTTTCATCTTTTAGAGAGTAAGGAGTGGCAAACAATTCTTTTCACATAGTAAATTGCTCTTTCTTGACCCGTTAACCAAAGCGTGTTATGTGCTTGGACTTGGTTCTATTAGTATTATTTACAGTTTCTTAATTTTTTTTTCTATTAGACGTTACGAAAACTGTAATAATGTACCTTAATTTTGTGGTAAGTTTTCTTTAGAAAAGAATTTCTAGATTTTAAAGAGTTAAAATCATGTATAGACTCGGTTTGTACTTAGCGTTCGAAATGGACAAAAGTGTTCAAAGTGAGAATTATTTTAGAAGAACATCGTATTGTTTTTGGTGAATTCTAAGACGCTTTATATATGAATGAAAAAGGCGACTAGACGACATTCTTTTACTTTTAAATTTCTTCTGAAATACACTTAGGAATTTTTAACTTAAACAATATTGAATTTAATTCCATATACAAAATTTGTGAAAGATACATTAAAAGATATTCAGAGCCATGTTTATGAACTTTACTATTTTACACTTATTCAAAATTATTAAATATTAGTTCAAGTTATACATCAGCTAGAATAATTAGAATCCAAGTGTTTCTATAATATGTGTTGTAATAAGAAAGAAACGTATTTTCAAAATATTTCTTAAAAAATTGCTGTAAACTAAGAAATATATACTAAAATAGATCACATGGAATAGTTCTACATTAGAATTAGTTTTATAATTTCAATCTGACATATCAATTAATAAATGTTCGGAACTAGATAATATAATTATAGATTAATGAGTTCATACTGAAAAACTTGACTTATATTCCTTTTATTATACTCCAGTTTTTCAGATACTTTAATTAGTTACAAAGGTTATAGTCTGATAAATAATGACTTTAATAATTATATTTTGTTCAAATAACTATCATTAAGTTTTATTTTAAATAATCATCATTTATATTTCATTTAAAGAAACAAATACTTCATAAAATGAAATGCTCCACTATTTGTGTTTCCCTGTGCTGCGAATTTAAATAACTGTTAAAAATAAATACTAATATATTACAAATCCATAAACTTTCTTCAAATAATCTTATTAAATTACCTCTTTAAGAGCATCAGTAAAAAAACATTTTTTAAACTTTAGAAAATCACAGTTAAATCAGGATGCTTTCGTAATCATGAAAAAGTATCCGTGTGTAAGCCAAATAAATTTGAAGCCATTATTTCTGCTTTTCGATAGAAGAATGATTCAATATCTTTTGCTACAACAATCCATAATTAAGATTTAAACCTTTTTTTTGGGTCGAAAATGCAAAACACAAAATCTTGTGGTAATTTCTTATTTAATTAAAAAATAATATAAATAGTAAAATATAAGTTACTTCTGCTTAGGAAGCATAATATTTCACAAACGTAATGCTAAAAAACGAATACAAAACTTGTTTACATCAGTGGATATCAAGTGATAAAGATGTCAAGTGATCATGACGAAACATGAAGTTAGTCCATTGGAACCCAGCCTGATTTTCCAGTGTGAAGAGCGGATGCCAGATGAACTCGCCTTACGCATTAACATCTGTTTGGAGAGAAAACTCCTAAGTATCCTTCCTGTCATCGTTTAATCATATTTTATTTGACAGCCCAGTATTTCATCGTCATCGTTCTACATTTTTTTAATTCTTCTGTTTGAAGCTTGTCAAATGTTAAACAAAGTTTCGTGCAACTTAGCCAGATTTAGCTCTGGCACCAGTATATACCCCGTCACTCTTTCACTAATCTTTGTAACAATATACTTAATTATTTCAAAAAAAAAGTAAGTATTTTTTTTTATCAAAGACAGGTTGTAAAAAGTTCAACGTATCTGCCTCTTACGTTTCATTACCTCTTTCTCTTTTACAGAGTAAATGAAGGTAATACGTGCACACTTTGGGGAGGGATTTCACTCCTTTACTAAATCAGTTGCAAAAGCTAGCTTCACTTCTGTGTACTAGCGTGTTGTGATTATCACGAGGGAGTTTGGATGCCTGATAGATAAAATGCTAGCAGAAATCATTTTCTCTTGATCGTGAAAAGTCTTTTGTATGAGCGTATTCATTTTGATGAAAAATAATTTCGCGTTTAATCTCAGGCAGAATACGCTATTATTTCCTTCTTTATTTTAATTCTTTTTCTGTCTTAAGCAATATAAAAGAGGAAGAAATAAGTTTCATGCAAGAATTTAAGTGGCAGAGCGGGATATTGAACGGGTCAGAGTGATTTAGAACTCGAAAACGTGTATTCAGAGTGTAATGGTTATTGTATTCACTGAATGAACATATGATACAAGTTATTCGCTCTTTCAAGCAAGTACTCCTGAATTTTGAACCTTCACATGAGTACAATACGAGCTATAAAAATGATTTTCTGGAAATGTTCAAAAATTATGTTTCAAGAATATACTCGATTGTTCAATAAAAGTTTCCTTTTTAATATGAGACATGATGTACCCCCTTTTAGTTTCATTTTATTTTTTTTACATTCTAAATATTAGAGATTAGAAAATTACCGTTTAGAGAATTTTATGTATTAACCACATAAGAACAGAGAGAT